CTTATCACTTTCATACTTATTAATTAGATTTTAGTAATTAAAATCTTTCAATTTAAGGTTTTTTTTTTTACTTCTCTCCCATCCACATTCATTTTAGTGGATCTCATAAAACCTTCTATTGTCTCATTTTGTCTTATAGTTGTGAATTATTCTTTAGTCTAAGCGTAAATTATGAATTTCATTTATGCATTCTATAACTTAAAAAAAAACATAAATGATCATAGGATAAAGTACAGCAGAGGTAACAAAATCATATATAAATGATCGTTTTATCTATTGGTCTTTAAAAAATTATAAAATGATCATTAAATTTACTGAAATGTTATAAATAACCATTAAATTTTACCAAACTGTTATAAAATAATCATTAAATCCATCAAAATTCTACACTTATTATAACATTACAATGACCACTTTATAATAATTCGATAAATTTATTATTATTTTATAACTTTTGAAAATTTAATGATTAAAATGACCATTTAAACATAAATTAGTGACATCTAATGTGATTTATCTTATATGTATAACCACGGTACGTGGCAATTATTTACTGGTGGAGCAGAGAAGGTGATAAAACAACTAGAGACGGAATATTTTTGTTTGAAGGTCCGGTGTGTGGTGATAAATGGAATAAGCTATCGAGTGGCAAAGAAATAACCTCAAGGATTAACCTACAACACAGGAAACTACAACCAATCATCATCATCCACGTGTGCTCATGATCAATCTCCATTGTGTGGCCTTCAAAAAATGATAAGAAAATCCCAAATTTTCGTACACAAAAAATGAAGTAAACTTATCCCTATAAGTTCTGCCCCCAGAGCCTCCTTACTTGAGCTTCTCAAAAGGACACACTCAAACTATTAGCAACAGTATTCACAGTTCGATAATCTCCCCGGCCATGGCTGCAGCCATCTCCACCATTGCTGTTTCCAACCGAGCACAGGTAATCTTCATGAACCTTTGTCTTGTTTGTGTTTGTGTTCATTCATATTACTTTAACTTTTCGTGTTTTAAAATTTATGCATGTATATGGTATACAAGTAGACCGTATGCATATATGAAGGTACGCAGAATTCAATGTCAAAGAAATTAACCGGTTACATTAAAAGTATTTGGTAGTACAAAATTATATCAATTATAAAGAAAATATCAAAATTATATGAGGATTTGAAATTTCTAAAAGAACAATTGCACCCTCAACAATCTATCCATCTATCTCTGCATGCATGCTAGTAGAGTAACTGAAAATGGATGTGTAAATGCTTTGAAATGATTTCGGAAAGATCATATTTACATATTTTATGTTGGATATTGCAGTGTGTGTCGAACATAAACATTTAAATGCAAGTATGTATATGGTGTATAAGTAGACCACCTTTATATACGAGCATGTCAAATTGTATGCAGTTGAGCTTGAATGGCTCTGGTGCTGGAGTTTCTGTTCCGAGCTCAGTTTTCATGGGGAAGAAAGTGAGCGCGAGATCAGGCAACAGCAACAAGCTTCCATCGGGAAGTTTCAGGGTCGTGGCGGCCAAGGAGATCGACGAAAGCAAGCAGACTGACGGGGACCGATGGAAGGGGCTGGCCACAGACGTTTCCGACGACCAACAAGACATCACTCGAGGGAAAGGAATGGTCGATTCTCTCTTCCAAGCTCCCATGAATGATGGAACTCACTATGCTGTCATGAGTTCCTATGAATACATCAGCCAAGGACTTAAACAGTAAGTATCAAGTGTCATCGAGTCAAGCCAGACTCGATAAACTCGAGTCCGATATGGATTTTCGATACTTTATTAGTATTTAGGAATGAATTTGTGATGATTAATGTAATTTAGGTACAACTTGGACAACAACATGGATGGTTTCTACATTGCCCCTGCTTTCATGGACAAACTTGTTGTTCACATCACCAAGAACTTCATGACCCTCCCTAACATTAAGGTTGATTAAAATTTTTGTTTTATGTTTCGGATAGTACTTAGATCGGTTCACTAGTCGAATCGAATAATTCGAATATTTTCTTTTACAGGTTCCTCTTATCTTGGGTATTTGGGGAGGAAAAGGTCAAGGAAAATCCTTCCAATGTGAGCTTGTCTTTGCCAAGATGGGAATCAAGTGAGTTCATGATTTTAACAAGTTTCTTAAACAAATATGCTGTGATAACTGATGAATGGATTATTTCCAGCCCCATTATGATGAGTGCCGGAGAACTCGAAAGTGGAAACGCTGGTGAACCGGCCAAGTTGATCAGGCAAAGGTACCGTGAGGCCGCCGACATCATCCGAAAGGGCAAGATGTGCTGCCTCTTCATCAATGATCTCGATGCCGGAGCCGGTCGTATGGGAGGCACCACTCAATACACCGTCAACAACCAGATGGTTAATGCTACCCTCATGAACATTGCGGATAACCCGACCAGCGTCCAGCTTCCCGGTATGTACAACCAGGAAGATAATCCCCGTGTCCCGATCATCGTCACCGGTAACGATTTCTCGACATTGTACGCTCCTCTCATCCGTGACGGTCGTATGGAGAAGTTTTACTGGGCGCCAACCAGGGAAGACCGTATCGGTGTCTGCAAAGGTATCTTTAGGACTGATGGTATCCCTGATGAAGACATTGTTAAGCTTGTTGACACCTTCCCTGGCCAATCCATTGGTAAGTCTTCCCCTACTAAATTTTATAAACGGATTCGGGTGTGGACGGCACATACAATTAATGATATTTTCGCTTGGTTTTGTAGATTTCTTCGGTGCCGTGAGGGCAAGAGTTTACGACGACGAAGTTCGGAACTGGATAGGAGATGTCGGGGTCGAGGGGATCGGGAAGAAGCTCGTGAACTCGAGGGAAGGGCCCCCAACATTCGAGCAGCCTAAAATGACCATTGGGAAGCTATTGGAATATGGAAACATGCTTGTTGCTGAGCAAGAGAACGTTAAGAGAGTCCAACTGGCAGACAAGTACTTGAGTGAAGCTGCCCTTGGTGAAGCTAATGAAGATTCCATCAACAGAGGAACTTTCTATGGTTAGATAAATCACTTTCGATTACAATAACCCGTGAAATCGTGCTATGATCGTCATTTAAATCCGTTTTTCGTTGTTGTCCATGGTAGGCAAAGCAGCACAGCAAGTTGGCGTTCCGGTTCCTGAGGGATGCACTGATCCAGGAGCTGATAACTTTGATCCAACAGCTAGAAGTGATGATGGAAGTTGCACTTACCAATTCTAGGCCTTTTGTGTACCATATAGTATTGGGCTGAACAAGGGAAGATGGGAGAAGAAAAACCCTTTTTTATTTTAAGTAATTATGTGAGATGTTCGAAAACTATCGTTTGCCCTTTGTTTTTTTAAAGTGGATTTGATTCCTCTAGTTTTTGTGTTAAATGTCTCGTTTTTTTATGTGTCAATAAGTTTGTTACTATCTTTGCGTATCAGATTATTTTGAATTAATCACTTATAAATAATCTATTAATCAATTAGTAGTGTCTCATTCTATTAGATTAATCGATTAATGGTTTCACGTGTGCGATTATTTATTCGAATTAAATTATATCATAAATTTACCAACAACCGTCGTAGCCATCATGAAATGACCCTCAAGTTCCAAACATTTTAACAATGTTCATCCAGAAATCATCGGAGAAATTCTCTTAGAATTTTTAAAATTTCACGGACAAGGTTTATAAAATAATACGTAAATTACATCCTTAGTCACTAAATTTTATAGTTTTTGAATTTATTTGAGTATGAAATTTTAAAACGTTTGGACGTGGACATGGGACTTTAGTTTTGGTTCAATTAGGATATTAAACTGTTAACGATGTGATGTGGTGGCGGTTTTTCCTTATTTTTCTTTAAAAACCATCAATTTCTTCGGTCATCATTGTTAGTCAATCGCTACTTATAGTCAATCATTATTTACGAAAATTATCAATATCAAAATGATTATGTTAGACTATTCTTTCTTTCTCTTAGATTGAGTTCGATCTCCTTCGACACTCACCCGATGATGTTAGTTTCATTTTTTACTGTTTGTCTTCTCGAAAGAATGATTCTAAATGTTTAAATTTTCGAAAAACACTCCAAAATGGTGAATTTTTTGTGTTTAATTTCATGAATTTTAAATAAGTTTTAAACAAATAAAAATGATAAAGTGATAGGAGATAATAAGATAAGTTCATCATCATCATCTGAGGTGACCATTAAAGGTATCAAATAATGATAATTTCAAATTAGTTAAAAATAGGTCAAAATTATTTTCTAGCTTCTACACCAACACTAATTATCATGTCATTGCAATGTTTCAAATTTAACGCCTCAATGCCCTAATGGAATTTGAAATCAAAGTTCATTACTTATGTAGAAGTGTTTTAAAGTTTAATGTTAAAATCAACATAAAATCTCAAAATTAGAGACGGATGATATGGTTTACCCTAAAATTATTTAATTATTGGATTTTATAAGTATTAAATTCAATTATAAACACATGAGAAAATGTGATAAATTCATTTTTTTAAAAAGGGGAACCCAAAATTAAAATAGATATAGAAAAGCAAAAGCCCGAAAATACAAATCAATGGGCTCCTCTAAATATAGCCCTAACCCTAGCTCATAATCTACTATAAAGCTCCCCAAATCTAAAACCATAATCGCCTCCATCAAATATCGTTTCTGCATGTTCGGACACCTGCCTTCTGCTAAAGTTTTCCTTTACGAAAAGTAATTTTCCGAGGAGCCAAACAGAGGGGGCTGTGATTAGAAAGAGAGAGGCTCGAGTGGGATCATTAGAAAGGGAAACAAAATCGAAGACGCCGCCTTCTTTTCAAGGCTTTGGCGTATTGATTTGTTCTTTCTACCCATTTTCAATCTGGGGATTTTCGTCCCCCCACAATGACTTGAAAGATCCAATTTTACACTTGATATGAGCCCTATTTTTCTCACAATTTTTTTTTTAAATATTTTCGTTGTTTTCTCAATGATATTTGCATTTGTTGCATTTTTAATGAATAAAGCGAATTTTCGGTGCTTTGTTTCGTCAACAACGGTGCAGAAATTAAAGGCTTGATTTTTCTTTTGAAACTGAAGGGAAAATTAAGCAGCGGGCCGACAACCGTAGGGATGGTATCCACAGATGAAAGGATTTTTACTCTCCCTTGTGTCTACTGATTCCATCTCACATTTTCTTTTAGATAAGTTTTTATTATATTTTGCGTTAATTATGGAATATAAATTAGTAGTCAAATTTTTTTTTTTAAGATTTAATATAAAAATAAGTGTTTAATTTTTTTATCAATCTAATTACTTAATGTTATAAATGATGTTATAAATGTTATCATGTTAGATTATTGAACCATAATCATCGTTTAATTTTACCTATCATGTTATAAATGTTAAAATGTTAGAGGTTTGAACTAAACTTATTAGTATTAAATTTTACTGTGAAATGACATATACCTTATTTACAAAATTGTAAAATTTTTATTTTTTAAAAATAAAAATATAATTAAAAAAACAGCCCATGTCATCATCCTCTCCGCTCTCCTTTCTCCTTTCCTGTGTTCTCTTTACAAGTGCAACCTAGACTCAAATGACCAAAGGCTAATGGGATTCAAACGACCGATTGAAACAATCGATCAATGGGCGATTGATTAACTTTCACGTTCGAGTAAACGGTTGATTATCACAGCCAATTTAAATGATTTTTATGTTTTGAATGTTTAAAATGAAATCTTGCTTTTACATCATTGTTTTGTGTTCGTTTGATTGTGAAAGTTAAGAGATTTGGTTGTGGGCGATTGGTAAGTGGTTGGGTGTTTAACCGATTAATAGTATTGGTTGCGGCAGTTGATGGTAAAAATATTAAAATTAAAGTTTTAAAAGTTTTTGGGTTGTTTAAAGTTAAGAAATTTTTTAGATTTTTTAAATTATATATTATTATTTTTATTTTAAATAATTTTTTTAAAATTATTAAAATGTGACATTGTCATTTAACATAATTTTTTATCGCTGTTTAAGGCTTAAATATCTAAATTGTTAATATTTGTAACATTATGAATATTGTTTTATTGAAGAAAAAAATTAAACACCTATATAGAAGGGAAAAAAAGGCTTAATGCCCAAATTATACATTTTGTTCTAATTGTCAAATACATACCTATATTTTTTTGACCCATCCAGTCGCTTAACGTTATCAACGTTAGAACTTTGGGTATATGGACCATTAACAATGTTAGTTTTTCTTATTAAGTGACATGTGTCATAACTTGATAATTTTAATTTTTTATATAAAATTAAAAAAAATAAAATTATATATTTTAAAAAAACACACAAAAAATTTGAAATAATCCCTATCCTTCATTTCAACCTCTAAACACACGTCGACCGTTGCCCTTTTCTGTCGAAGAAGCTTCACCCGACCTCTCCTCTCATGGTGACCAAAATCCTTGTAAAATCGTGACTGGTTGACGACCGATCGACAACAAATCAATATTTTAAATCTCGCGAACACATTGTTGAAAATCGCAATCTCACACAATTCCAACGGTGAATCGACGATAACTACGACGACAAATAATTAGGATGATGGCAAGGACTACGTTGGCGGCAACGGCGGATTAAGGTTGGGTTTGAGATTTTGGGCCTGTTTTATAATATAAGAAAAGTTACGGTTTTTAATCAATATAATAATTTTTCTAATTCTTTTAAAAAATATAAGTTTCAAAATTATTCTGTTGTGAGACGTGTCCCTTAACGGGAGAAACTAACACTGTTAATGGTCAAAACACCTAAAGTTAGGGGTGTTCATTCGGTTAAAACGGTGGCCGACCGAATCGAATTAACCATAACCGAATTAACCGAATTTTTTTTCTTTAACCATTAACCGAACCGAACTTTTTTATGAAAAAATTAACTGAACCAAACAAATTTCGGTTAATTCGGTTAATTTTCGAATTAACCGAAATATTTTAAAATTTTTGAATTTAATATTTTTTAATTAAAAAACAGTTTACAATATCTAATTAATTTGATTCAAACATTATATTAAAATAAGATATTTGTATATATCAATTTAGTTCAAAAATAACCAACAATATTGCACTTCTACCAAATAAATCAGAACAAAGTGCAGAATGCAGAACTGGAAGCATAATTCAGTATACAAACCAAGCATAATTCAGTATACAAACAGTTTACACATTAAGTGTTGGTGCATGAAGAAGGTTGTGCTAACTACTAAGTTGTTTGCTGATGCTGCCATACCAAACCAAGATGTTCTCTATCAAGTGCAGAATAATTCATATCTTAAGAGAACATATTACCTGCACAGTGCACAATATAAAAATAAAGAGATGCAAAATTCAGTTCGAACTATCAAAAACAATAAAAACAATCCAAGGTATAAACATCAATTATATCTATTAAGTATCAACCAATGCTAAAATTATAAGTGCTAAGCTAACTCAATCTAATGTAATACAATCTTATTTCAGGTTGATGAAGCTCTTATTAAGGTAGCAGGCCCAAAAGCTTATTTCATGCATTGTTTGTCTGTTGAACGAGGTGATTGCAATAAAAAATGTAATACAATCTTATTCAGTAAACATCATTCATCACTTAATCAGATATGTGCTAACTAATCTGGCTAATGAAATTAAAATGAATGTAAGGGAAGAAATTACCACAAAAAAAAAATATTCAAAATACTCATTTTGCACCAATTGAGTCCTCCCAAAAAGTTTCCATTTGCATTATCTCTACAAGAAAAAGATATTATTTTAAATCTAAAAATATAGTATAAAAAACCATATATATAAATTAAAAAATACATTGCAATAATGCAATTTACAATTAATGCATACCCTTCAACTCATACTCACAGTGCTGCAGTGCAGAATCCTATGAGCTCATGAATTGAGGGTAGGTTGTAATGCATTCCAAGATAAATCTAAAAGTTAAAATGATTAAATCAATTAATGTTGTGTCAATTCTCCTCAAAGTAAATTCACTTATTAAATTAAAATTAATTAATAAAGAATCAACATACCATTATCAATCTTGTCAAGCTCTTGAATTTGTTCTTCAAACTTCTTGATCTCCTCTTCGGTTGATGACTTTTTAATATAGTCTTGAGTGCACACAAGAGCTTGTACCATTTTAGGAGTTAAAGAACTCCTAAATTGATCAAGCACACATCCATCGGTACTAAATGCAGACTCTGAAGCGACGGTAGAAAGCGGTATAGCTAATACATCTTTGGCCATATTTGACAGAACTGGAAATCTAGGGCTATTGACTTTCCACCATGACAAGATATCAAATTCATCATCATAATTCTCAACAGCCTCCCCTAGATATTTATCTAATTCAGATGTTTGATCCTCACCACCAATTTCAATCACACGCCTTTTATACAAATCTTTCATGCGCCTTTTCACTTTTTATTGCGGTTCAGAAATTCTCACATTTAAATGGTTTCCATCACTATATACTCGAGGCTTATACTCATCATACAATTCATTCAAAGTCTCTTTCAGCTTTTGCATCACTTCAAAACTTTTTTCCGAATCATACATCTCACTAAGTGCAAATTCAAGATAACTTAATTTCTGCCTAGGATCTAAAACACAACCAACAAAAACAAGCATATTCATCTTCTCAATATCACCCCAATATTTCTTAAATTTATCTTTCATCCTCATGGCCATAACACTAAATTCAACATCAGCACTTAATTGAACATCCCTTAAAAGTATGCAAATTTCAGTAAGTTCATCAAAAAAATTGTTAGATGTGACATATGAAGTACCTGAAACTCGCAAAGTGACTTCATAAAAATGTTCCAAGAAATCCTTCAAGTTTCTAACACAAGTCCAATCATTTATAGTTGGCCAACCCTCTCCTAACTCAAGTTCAGCCCCAAAATTTGTATCTTGCTCCTCAAATCTCTCAAAAGCTCTCTCAAATTTTTCAGCAACGTCTAACATTAAATATGTAGAGTTCCACCTAGTACAAACATCAAGACATAACATTTTTTTGCTCTCAATTTTTTCCATCTCAACACACTCCATGAACTTTTTCAATCTAGCTGGAGATTGTCTCACATATTCACAGCCCCCCTAACACGTGCAACATATTTGTTCATTTCCTTTAAACCTTCAACAACAATCAAATTCACAATATGTGCAATACATCTTATATGAAGATATTTACCATTTGCAATGCAACCCCCTCGAGGACTAAATCTCTTTCTTAAATAACCAATAGCAACATCATTCGAAGTTGCATTGTCAACGGTGACAGTGAACAACTTATCAATCCCCCAATCTAATAAGTATTTTTCAATCATCAGCCCAATTGCATCTCCTTTATGACTAGAAATTGGATAAAAACTTATGATTTTCTTATTCAATTTCCAATCGTTATCAATAAAGTGCACAGTGAGACACATATAATTAACTCTTTGCATAGAGGTCCACGTATCAGTAGTTAAACAAACTCTAGAACATGAACTTCTTAAATATTGTGTCAGCTTAGTCCTTTCATCCAAGTACAACTGATAAATATCTCTAGTTATAGTCAATCTTGAAGGAATATGAAACTTGGGGCATGCTACAGACATAAATTTTCTAAATCATTCACTCTCAACAAACTTGAAAGGCAATTCATCAGTCACAATCATTTGGGCTAAAACTTTTCTAGTTGTTTCTTGATCAAATTTCCAAGTTGTGAGATGTCATACTTCTCCTCGAATATCCTTACTAGGTAACACTAAATTGCTTTGATTAGTGTCAATGTTGTTAGGATTTTTCTTACATTGTTTCATGTGATATATTAATGACTCAGTTCCATTTTTTTTCCCATCACAACAAAATTCTTTCTCACAATGATTGCATCTACCCTTGCCTTTACCCTCACTATTTTAAAACTTAGTAAAGTGAGTCCATACTTCTGACCTTAAAGGAATAGCTTTTCGTTTACTTGCAGTCCCTCTTGTGTTATTGATTTGACTTGAAGCTTCAGTCGTTGAATTTGTAGAATTTGATAAAGGGGGTGAAACACTTCCCTTAGCAGATGCTGCCATATTGGATATCTACAACAAAATATGAGAAGTAAAAAAAAAGTAATAAGTAATCACATTAAGATAACATAACTCAAAATAAATCAGAAAACATAACTAAATA